GTTTTATTAATTGCATAATATTCTCCAGTGATCTACAGCTCTCACTGGATCGGTTCGCAGTCGAGTGTGAAGCAGCCGGGATGAGGATCAGTGCCTCCAAATCAGAGACCATGGCCTTGAGCCGGAAAAGGGTAGAGTGCCATCTCCGGTTGGGGAGGATGTACTGCCCCTAGTGGAGGAGTTTAAGTATCTTGGGGTCTTCTTCACGAATGAGGGGGAAGATGGAGTGGGAGATTGATAGGCGGATTGGTGCGGCGTCTGCTGTGAAGCGGACCCCGTACCGGTTTGTTGTGGTGAAAAGAGAGCTGAGCCAAAAAGCAAAGCTCTCGATTTACCGATCGATCAAGTTCCTACCCTCATCTATGGTCATGAAATCTCGATCATGACTTAAAGAACGAGACCCCGGATACAAGCGGCTGAAATGAGTTTTCTCCGTAGTGTGTCTGTGCTCTCCCTTAGAGATAGAGGGAGGAGCTCAGTCATCCAAGTAGAGCCGCTGCTCCTCCACATCGAGAGGACCCAGTTGAGGTGTCTCGGGCATCTGGTTAGGATGCCTCCTGGACGTCTCCCTGGTGAGGTGTTCCAGGCACGTCCCACCGGGAGGAGGTCCAGGGGGAGACCCAGGACACGCTGGAGGGACAATGTTTCTCCGCCTTGGGGTTCCCCTGGAGGCCCAAGTGGATGGGGGAGAGGGACGTCTGGAACCCCTACTGAAGCTGCTACCCCTGCGACCCGACCCCGGATAAGCGGAAGAAGATTGAAGGATATCATAATATTCTATCTGTGATTGTTTTTTTTGTGGCTGCAGCATTCTATGTTTGCATTCATTTGTTGTGGAGTTTGCATTGCACGTTTCTGCAGCTCAATCTGTCGTTTCCTGCAGGTTTACACCTGTTGGCCACATAGATATTACAGCATTGGGACATTCCCAGTAAAACCCAAACGTTACCTTAGCAACCTGTTCCAGCCCCTTCAGCAGGAAGGCGTAATGTCTCAGAGTGGACAGCTCAGATTTAGGGACCAGCAGGCAGTAACAGACATGCAGGGGAACCTCCTCCTTAGCAGCCAGCTGCTGGGCGCGGATCAGAGCCCAGTTATCTGATGGAAACAAAGGAGAGATGATGAAGCAGAAGATGAAGCAGGTCTATATCCCAGGTGTGGAGCAGCTCTCACCCTGCACCCTCTGGTCTCTCAGCATCCAGTACAGCACCCCCTCTGAGCCCTGCTTCATCTTCTGGCTGTCAGTCAGGAACCTCTGCCGCTTCTTGTTGAACTTCATGTCCTTCTTCTCCTCCCTCTGCTGCTTCACCTGGCTCTCCAGCCAGCCTGCAGCCTTCTCCTCCTTGGGCTGCTTGGCGCTGGGCCCCTGCTCTGCTGCAGACGGAGCTTTGCGCTTCTTATCAGACATGTTGCCTCCGATAAATAAAGAGCTGGATGGGAGGAAGAGGAGCGATGCTGAGCGAAGCTGGGTCTGAACTTTGGAGAACCGCTGAGCTGCGAGGAGAGGAAACCTGCGAGGAAACGTTACCTTTAAAAACAAACAGTCCGAGTATCAATGAACCAAACAGCGCAGAGACGCAGACCTTCTGCAAACACCGAGCAGCATACACGGAGTCTACCGGAGGGAAGCTTTGTCTGCAGCTTTCTGTGGGAAACAGCTGTAATGTATGGAAAACAGCAGGAAGCTAACATGAAACAGCCGCATATGTAACCCGCTGCTCTTTACACAACCGCTTACATGAGCACGTTCGCTGAGAGCTTTCGTAACTAGTAAACCCCGCCCACAAGCCCGACACCCACTCACAAACGATCCTGATTGGATAGTTCCTCCCATATCTCAAACCCATTTCCGGTTTAATGCATGCAAAT